CAGTGGTTTCTGCTTCTTGTACTCAGATTCTGACTAATGTGGCCATGACTCAGTATGGGGAAGATAAGTGTGTTTGTGGTGAGATGTAGGTCCCAACCTACCCCTGATTCCTAGATGGGATTTCTGATGTGGTTTCTCAGGTTGTATTTCAAAGCCTCTTGCCTTTGAATCTCCCTGGCTGCTCTTTGATGGTTCATGTTAGCTGAAACTTGGATTATTGCAGTAGTTTTTAAAAACACAGCTAAAATGGAGTCTGTAACACTGAATGTGGCTGTACACCTAACCAGAGGCTACAAGGCTACATGGCAATTCAAAAGTGACTTTTATAAAAATTATTTGGGTTTTGTTATTCCAAGTGCCTCAAGCAACCTGGTCACTGCTCCCAAGAGTCCTTCAGTACAGCCATGTTTTAATGTGGAGCCTGTAGGGGAAACTGCTGCTTTCCCATTCCTGCTGAGGGGACAAGGGCTCAGCAGGGCTGTGTTGCAGTGCTGATAGCACTGGTGCAGGATTTCCATGGTGTGTGGTTGACTCACAGGCTGCTCTCTGCTGGGCTGGCTTCAGAGGCTGGGATGTTTTCCAGAGCTCAGCTGGACCCTGCACAAGCAGTATTCCTCAGCTCCAGGAGAGGCTCTCCAGCTGTGTGTCCTTCCCAGGACCTGGGAAATGCCACTGAATGCTGGGACAACTGAACCTTTTCCCAGCTGTCCCCTGATGAGCCCAGAGGCACCATCACAGAGCTGTGATCTGGAGCAGCAAACACACTCCAGCTCTGTGCTCTGGACACCCCAGCCACCTTCCTGGCACTTGGCACTGCAGCAAGGGCCTTGCAGAAGGAAAACATTTCACAGGGACCTGGTGGAACCTGATTTCAGACCTGCACACCCTGGGCTTTGGGTGTGAGTCCAGTGCTCTGCCTGTTAAGTGGCCTTTTGAGAGGAGCATTTCGGCAACTCCAGACCTGGAGCCTTGGTTAAAGTGTCCTTCTGTGGAGAGAGCTCCATGGAGCTGAATTACATCACAGGCTTCCCTCCCCATGGACAAGGGTTTCTGCTGGCCCCACAAGCTGAGAGTGAGAGCATCAAGAACTTTGGAGTGAGATGCACTGGAGTAGCTGGGATAAGTGTTTCTTGGAGGAGCATCCACCACATACACCTGGTAATCAACCTGTGACCATTTAGTGGCTCTGCTGGGTGCATTCCAGTTGGTGGATATCTCTCCTGTACCAGGGGTGCAGCATCTTGTTCCTCCTGTTCCTCTTGGAACCATCTTGTTCCAGATGATTCCTCTTGGTACTCCATGAGCCTAGCTTAGCAAGTATTTAACCAAAGCTATTCCAAGTCTTAGAGGGTTGAGAGAGCTCTCAGTCAAGCTCTCCTGTGAGCAAGGAGGGCAGCAATCTAATTCCTGTGCATCCTGCAGTGTGCTCACAGAGCCAGCTGCTTTTGGGAAAACTTCTTACTGCTACCAGCAAAGCTTTCTTGCTTCTCTGCCTCCCACAATCCCAGTATTCCCCCAGCTGCATGGCCACAGTGGTGTCTGCAGTGCTGTGGGAGCTGCTCCAAGACCAGGGCCAGCTCTGGGGCTCTTGTCTGTGCCAAGCATGGATGTGGCAACTCCAGCTGCCCTTCCTGGCTTGTTCTTCCCTGCTGGCCTAAAGGGGCAGGTCCACATGTGACAGTCCCTTTTTGCCACCCATCAGCTGCAGCTGGGCTGGCTGCAGCACTTCTGCCATTCCTCTGGAGTCTCTTGGGAGCTGAGCCCTCGTGTGTGGCCAGAAGAGCAGAGAGGCACTCCCAGTGAGGCACTGGACAATGCACAGCATCCAGCCTTCAGGGGAGCTTGTCCAGTGGGTGCTGTCCCTCAGGCCATGGCAGCCAAAGCTGGAGCTTGTTGCCTTGGGGTGTGAGACAGCTGTGGTGAAAGGTGGCTGCTCTTTCCATTTCCAGCACCTGGTGGTCCTCTCTGTGCTGCTGCCCACTGGATTTGGACACAGGAGGTGCAGCTGTGGCTGGCATGGAGAATGGGCTCCTCTGGGAGCATCATTCCTCATGGTTACCTACACCCAGGATCTTCCCATATCCTTCCTTCTCTTTTTCACAGTGACATCTCAATCTGTCCTCAAGCTGTGTCCTTGTTTTTCACGTTTTATTAAGGCATCTTTACCATTCTTTAAATAGCTTTGTTCTTGAGGCTGCCTTGAAAAACTGGAGCAACCAGAGCTGCTGGAGGTAGTTCTAGGGATTGAATGTGTCATTTTCCACCTTGGGTATCAGGGATGATGAACATCTCCTCCTTCAGCGAAGCAAGCCAGGCTGGATTGCAGCTGTGCTTTGGTACCTGTCTGTGTTAACATGTAGCACATGCTGCTTAGACACACGTTCCAGAGTTCTGCTGTCCTGGGGTTGGTGGAGAAGGTGACCTGTGGCAGCCAGGCTGCAGAGCAGTGTGTCAGTGCCAGGAAGCTGTGTGGTGCACCACATGGGATGAGGGAGTTCTCCCCATAAGAAGCAGTGCAGACTTGAACTGTCCTGTGGCAGCAGGTGGACAGAAAGGTCCCTCACACTCCAGTCCTGGGGCAGTGAGGCCCCGTGGAGCTGGTGACAGCCTGGGAGAAGGAGCAAGGGCTCCTCTTCCACCCAGGAAAACCTTTTGCAGGGGAGCATCTTCCTTCCAGCCCTGCCAGTGTGAGAGCAGCCTCAGTGGAGGGGCAGGAGAGAGCAAGTGTTGGGTCTCCAGCTGTACCAAGGTGTTTCTGCAGAAGGACTTGCCAGGGGACAGGTGTTTCTGTGTGGGGACATGCCAGGGGACATGCTGGCTGCTGCTGGGACCCTTCTGCCCCAGAGGGATGAGTGAGGGAGGGAACTGCAATCCAGCAGTTCTTGGTCAGATCCAGAGCTGGTTGTGAGCCTTGTCCCATGTGCTGTGTAGGGGCAGAGAGCTGGAGGAAGTGTTGCTGGGGCTGTGTGAGGGCAGCTGCAGCAGATTTGGGAGAAAAAGGGAGGAGCTGAGAACCTGGAGACCTCTTGTATAGCCAGCACTAGCTGCTCTCCACCATCCTGCCCTGCAACAAGAGGGGGCAGGTGATGGATGAGTGAACCTGACATGTCTGTCCCTCTCCCCACATCCCAAACCAAAGCTCAGAGCCTGCAGCTTGAGCTGGAGCAGTGTCCAGCAAGCCAGGGCATCCTCCAGGCTTGAGGAGCACACACACGTCCTGCCAGCTCTTTATTTCCAGGAGGGAAGCTTAACTCTCCTGCTCGTGGGAAACCCACAAGTCCTGTGTGGAATTCACACTCACATCACCACAGAAACATTCCTGGAGGCCATGCAAACCTCTGCTCCTTGCTGAAGGTCCCGTGGCCAGGCAGACACCATTTCTCTGGTCACTCCACTTGGGTCCAGGGGTGTACTTGGACGTTTTTGCTCGGGAGGACTTCAGCCGCATCCTTCCTCCAGAAGGGAGCACAGAGGGATTTTTGTATGCTGGGCTTCTCAGAGGCTTAGACTTGGAGAAAGGAGAAGCAGCAGCAGCTCTGGGGATAATCCAGATTTTAAAGAAAATTTGAAAACCACAAGTATGGTGACTTCCAGACCAAGGACTGCACCGGCGCTGGATTGGGATCGTGTCTCTCGGTCCCGCCTGTGCAGCTGGGGAGGCAGGAGGAGGCTGCGGCCCCTGAAGCTCTCACACACAGCAGTGCAAGCCCCAGGACCTGCCCAGCACACAGTGAACTCTCCTCTCCTGCTGGTTGCTCAAAACTCAGGTATGAAATGCTCAGCTGGAGCATGGGGTGCGAGGTTTCCCGGCAGCCCTGGAGGAGCGGCCGCCGCTGGGCACAGCTCCCTGTGCACCCCAGGCTTCTCCAGGCCTTTGGAGGGAGTTTCACCTCTCTGGTACAGCATTGGCTACGTGGACGTTACACAAACTGTGCACATTGGTTCAGTCTACGCTTAGTATTTGTGAATTAAGTTATCTGATGCTTCGCATGAAAACTTCAAAAAAGGGGCTCGGGGGGGGTGGATTTTAACTGAGAAAAAGCCTATGAAAATATACTGGAAATATGGTAAAGAAATCGACATTCTGCTGTATATTGACAGAATTATTTTTATTAAAATACACATCCATGTGCAAGAGCCAGTGTGGAGCCGTGTGCTTTGTCAGTCTCTGCTCATCAGGGAAGGCTGTGTCCCCTCTGACAGGGGATGCACAGTCCTCGAGGTGTTTGTCCCCCAGTGTCTGATTCTGTTTCAGCTTCCCTTCCACCATTGCTTCCTCCCATGTGCTTACAGTTCATGGGCAAAAATGTCATTAGGGATGTTTTTCCTGTGCCATTCAGTATCCTGGAAAATACAGCCCTGAAGTGTTTTCGAGCCATGAGCATAAAACACGGATGAAGCTTTAGGCTGAGGATCATTTGCCCCATTCCTTGTTTTTGCCCTTCTGAGGTTTTCCCTTGTTTGCAGCTCTCCCATGAGAAGATGGGTGCTGCCTGGTTTTAGTGTCTGGGATCCCACCCTGCTCCCACCCTTCCCTGGCCCTGCGGAGGGCCAGGCAGCCAGGACGCCTCTGTCCAGCTGAAGGGGTTGTGTCCTCACCCTCCTGGCACTGTGGACATTGTTCCTTATGTCCCTCAGTCACTTTGCAGTGACCACCAGCACATTTGGAAGCTGTCATGGTATTGAGAGTTTGGTAGATCAGTATCTCCTCCCAGAGCCCTCCCCTTAATTCTGGAGCACCTGCAGAGCCCGTGGGGCTGTGAGCACGCCCTGAGGATGCACAGCTTTGCCTGGGGGTGAGGTAACCTCACCTATGGGTCCTGACCCGTGGGTCAAGGCCTGGCTCCACTGTCACATTCCCAGTGGAGCACACTGTGACCAGGCACAGTTTGCAGAAACACGAGCTTGTGGCACAGGCTTTTTTTTCGCTTGCAGCAAGCCCTGGGTTTGTTAGGATCTGCTGCTTGGTCTGGAGAATCAGGAGAAGTTCAAACAGCAACTTGTGGCAATGAGTCTTTATTATAAATATTTGCTCCAGAGGCACATCCTGGCAGGGCAGTGGCAGCAGGAGGAGCTCGGGAGCTGGCAGCTCCATGGCACTGTGACACCTGATCCTGCCGGGGCTCAGCACGGCTCCTCCTGCAGTGGCGGTGCCCACGGCCACAGCACCCGCGGGAGAAGGGCTGCCAGCCCTGCTGGCTCCCTCGAGAGACAGGAAGACTGGATGGGCAAGTCAGATGCTGGACTGATCTATTGTTTTATTTTGAAGCCGTTTTATGATTTTTTTCACCCAGTCCTTCTTGGGGTCGGCACAGATCTCATCACCATTGGCAGCCACAATCCTGCAAAGAGAAAGTGAGGAAAAAGAGTGAAAACACGAACCATGAACCCTTCCCTTCCCGTGCATTATTTTTTTTGCAGCCCCATCCAGGATCAAGGCTTGGAGCCATCTCCAGCAGCCTGTGCCCTCCTTGGGCTGATGGTGAGTGTCTGAGCCTTCCCAGACCACTAGCATTAGCAGAAAGCACTAAAATCCATTTTTTCCCCTCTTTGCCCACCCCCCAGAGCTGCTTTCCTACCACAGCCCCCCCTGGTTGGGACAGAGCTGTCTGTGGGGCAGGATGGGATGGGGGAGGAAAAGATCTGGGATCCCAGATTTGGGATAGGGGGCAAAGCCTGGGATACTCACACAACTGCAGGCTTGGGGCAGTCCTTGGATGTCTCGTAGAAGCTTTGAGGGTGTCGGATGCGTTTCTGTGCATACTTAAAGCAGCATTCCACGGGTGCAAAGTGGGCTGTGGAGGGAAGGGGATGTTGTGAATGTTGTGAATTGCATCACCAGGCAATGGCACCACCAGGTTTGGGACAGCACGGAGGCTGTGGAGCACCTCAGCAGCTCCCATAGCATCCTATGGCAGGGATTTGTCACCCTTCACACAGCAAGCCCAGGACTGGGACGTGGACAGGGGTGGGGCAGGGGACAGCCTGGGACCTGGCCCCTCACAGCCCAAATTGCTGCAGCCACCAGAGCACACGGTAAAGTCGGGGTGCTCAGTCTGGGGATGAGGTTTTGGGGTTTTCCAAGGCAGGAGCACAACTTGCAGGGTGTTTTGGAAGCTGCCTGTTCTCCCTCCAGCCAACCCTTGCTCATCCAGCTGAGACCTGGGTAACAACTGCCAGAGCCTCCTCCAAGCTCCTGCAGCCTCTCCCCAGGTCTGGCTTTGCTGAGACCACCCAGCACCTTCTCCATCCCTCCCTGCTTCCCGGGATGTGCCGCCCTGCCCTGCCCTGCCCAGGGAGCTGCTGCTCCTGCCAGCAGCACCATCCCCGCTCCCCGCTGGCCTTTCCTGCCTGACCTCCCCCGTGGGGTGTCCCCGGTCCCCAGGGCTGTCCCCAGGGCTCAGAGCCCTCGCCTGCAGCAGCAGCAGCCCCTGAGGTTCCTCACCTGTGGCGTGGTGCAGGGAGAAGGTGAGCAGCAGGGTGAGCAGCAGGACAGTCCTTGCGGGCAGCATGGTGGCAGCGTGCTGGCTCCTCCTGTCCCCTGTGCCGCCTGCCCGGTGGCTGTGGCTGTGGCTCTCTCCTCGCTGTCATTTATCCTCTGCCTGCCACCCACTCAGGATGCATTTCCAAAAATTCAGACGTGTACCAAGAAGCCAGGGTCAAGGGGCTTTCTGTAGTTTATTTTTGGGACACATCCAGCGGTGGGTGGAAAAGTTTGAGGAGCAGTTCTGCATTCTATGGAAGACGTGGCAAGGGAGCTTCTAGGAACTGAAAGCAGATTAAAACCATCTTCCCATGCAAGCAGGACATCAAGTCCAGGGCTCATCTGTTTGTTTCTAGCAGGAGGGACAACCCAGAGTCCCTGAGCAGGGACAGGTCTCGGGGGGTTTAGTTGGTTTGCCCAAAGGCCAGTGATGGATCCATCCAAACCAACCTGCCCAGCCACCTTGGGCACACAGAGAGCACTGGGCCAGGCAGGAAAGCACAATGGGATGGGATGGGATGGGATGGGATGGGATGGGATGGGATGGGATGGGATGGGATGTCAGGCAGAAGAAGCCACTGGACTGATCCAGAAGGGAGCCTGGAGCAGGGGGTGTCAGAGGTACTTTTTGTGGGTTCAGCAGACTTCACAGAAGGGGAAGAAGTGGGGCAGGGGCAGGGGAGTGTGAGGAGAGTCTGGGTCTGAACACAAGCCTGAGCCCTGTGTTGCCTCTGCCTCCCACACCAGCACTGGGGTTGAAGTGAGAGCTGGGGGATGGAGGCTTGTGGCCATCAGTGCACAGACATCTGCTCCAAGGGAGATGGGACAATCCCAGCACAGCCCCAGGAGTCATCCCAGGTGCCAGGGAGGAGGGGCAGGTGGCACAGGCAGCAGCACGGAGCACTGCTGGACACCAGCCCGGCTTCCATGCAGGGATCTGCTCCCTGGGAAGGCAGATGCAGCTGTGTGTGAAGAGGTGAGGTCCTGGTGGGAGCCAGCATGGATGATGCTGAGTGGGAGCACAGGAGGGGACAGGCTGTGGCTTGGGGGATGAGGCAATCAATCCAAGGCGTCTCAGAGGGGAAGAAAGGTGGAAATGGGTTTCTTTGAAGATTATCTCATGTCTGCACGACTTCTCTGAAAGGAGAAAGGAGAAGGAAACAGATCTAATGTGCTGAAAATGCTGGTTTAGAATAAATGGTCTGCAGGGCATGGGGTCTGCTGGCCTTGCATGGGGCAGGGTGGCCACACGGAGAGCTGGGCACAGCCCCACTGGGTTCTAGTGCCACTGTCCCCAGGCAGGGCTCTGCAGGGGGAAATGCCTGACACACAGCAGCCACAGTCCTCTTCTGTGGGCTCTGCATCACCCCCAGCTTCTCCTGCCCACGTCCCCAGTGCACAGACCCTTGGGGCCAGCAGGCACCAGGCTCACTCCAGCTCCTAGGCACGGGTTAAAAGCACATGACTGTAATTAAGGGAGAACTGAGCTAATGACTTTTTCCAACCAGCATCCCCTGGCTCAGAAAACCTTATGTGCCAGCCCTGAGCTCCCTTTCCAGGCTTGCCTGAGGCACACAGTTGCTCCTCCTTTCCCTTAGCTGTTTATTCTCTCCAGAAGCATTAGTAGATGCCTCCGCAGCCTGTTCTTCATGGAGGAAATCAGTGCATGTTGGATGTTTGAAAGCCTGGAAAGGCCCCACAAGGCTCTGGAGGACTGGGCTTCTCTCCCTGCCCCAGCAGTGGACCTTTGGGTCTGGCTTTGGTCTTCTCCAGGCTCCTCTGCAGCTCCTGGGGGGTTCCCAGCACCCTCCTGAGCCATTCCCAGCAGGGGCACGGCCTCTGCCCAGGCGTGGAGCTCCTGCTTAGGCAAATGCAAAGGCAGCTGGAGAGAAGAGGGGGTACAGACTCTGCAGAGGATTTTATGGGTGTCCAACCTCACTGTAATTAATAATTGAATACAAATTTTCTGACTGAGGAAAACCCCTGCTTTAGAAATTGAAATGGATAGAGGTGGGAAATATTGTCTGACTCATAAAATGCTTTGGGTTTTGAGTGGATCATCACAAAAGCTAATACTTTATCACAGAACTGTTGGCCCATGATAAATGCTGCTGTCCGAGCCACAGCTGTCAGGAGAGGGCACCAAGCCCAAGCAAACAGAGGCTCCATGGCCTGGGGACTCCTGGAGTGGAAAGGCAGCAGCTCAAGAAGCTTTGCAGGCTGCAGGCTCTCCTGGTGCCCCCAGAGTTCTCCAGTTCTTGGTACCTGTGACACCTCAGGTTCCAGACCTGCAGCGTGCCAGGGTCACCCCTCAGCTCTGGGTGGGTTTTGCCTCTGCTGGGAAAGCATCCCTGGAGCTGCTGCTGCCAAAATCCCCTTCCCCAGGAGCTGTGAGTGCTGGCACAAGGGACTGGCTCAGCATCATCTGGGCCAGTGCAAGTGATGGTTTCTTTATCACTTGGTGGTGATTTTTGGGTAGGTTTCTTTTTTTGACTGGTTCCCCCTTTTTTTCCCCCTTATTGGACTGTCACAGGGAAAGGAGGAGGAAGTAGGGGCACATTCAGAGTTGCAGCATTTGTCTTCCCAGGTCACTGTTACATGTGAGGGAGCCCTGCTCTGCTCCCCCTGGCTGGACACCTGCCCAGCCATGGGAAGGAGAGAATTGATCCCTAATTTTGCTTTGCTTGTGTGCCAGTTGTGCTTTATTTATTAAACTGCCTTTAACTCATGGCTTTCCTCACTCCTGCCCTTCCAGTTCTGCTCCCCCACCCAAAGCCCTGGCAGGGATCACTGCTGAGCTCTCCATGGCCCCTGGCAGGGGGATGTGTGCAGGGATCCCCTGTGTGATTCAGCCTCCCCTGCCTGTCCCTCCTGCCAGGGAAAGCCTTCCCTGCAGCCCAGCTGAGACACGCAGGCCTGGGCACGCCTGGCACGCAGGCTGTGCTCCTCCACGGGACAGCAGAAGGACAGGTGAAACCTCTCAGCCTGAAATGATGGCAGTCTTGCACCTAAAAACCCTCCGAGGAGTCTCCAGCCCTTTTTGTGTCCCCTTGAAGTCCCATCCATGCCCTCCCTTCCTGCCCTGAGACCCGGTGGGAAGAGCCAGCCCCAGCTGCTGGCAGCAGCACGGTTGTGGGCTGGGACAAGAAAGGACACCACTCTCCAATTTCACATGAAGTAAACTTTATTTTGTGGCTGTGGTCAGCAGGAAGGTGCAGGCTGGGCCAGCAGCACTCCAGGAGCTGGTGCCCAGCTGTGGATGCAGCTCAGGGCCCTGGGGAGTCAGTGCCCTCTCCCAGGAGCTGAACATCCTTAACCCCTTCTGAGGGGCACTGCAAACCCTCCTTCCAGCAGGGTGTTGGGCAGCCTGAACCAGGGCACCCCCTCTACATCATGGACCATGAAGTTCTTTCTTTTTTTGAAGCATTTTAACTGCTCTCTTCACCCACTTCTCCTCGGGGTTTGCACAGATCTTGGCTCCTTTCTTGGTCTCAAACCTGCCAAGGTTAAAGGTGAAGCTTTGTGAGGAATGACAGCTGTGGTTCCACTTGTGCCCACACCATCCTCCCTCCCCTGCATCCATTCTCCTTTCCCTTTGTCCCTGTGCCTGTCCCTGGGTCCTTGGTGCCCTACAAGCAGCTCATCCTGCAGCCCAGAGCCCGTGCAGAGCCTTCAGGAGCTGCAGTGGCCTTGCAGAAGTGCCCAGACAGCCACGTCCTCCCCTCTCCATGCTGGAAGATCACGGAGGTGACACAGACCTGTCCCTGTCCTGTCCCCACATGGAGAAGAACTGAAGCTGTGACAGCCCAGGGGACAGCACAGCAGCAGGGAAGCTGCCAGGACTTACACAGTTGCTGGGAAATAACATTCCCTGGGGGTGGAGTAGGAGCCCAGCAGGTAGTCCAGCCGGAGGACGCCCTTGATGTAGTCGAAGCAGCACTCGGCTGGACTGTAAGGGGCTGCAGGACACAGAGAGGCACGGTGAGGCTGGCTCTGGAGGCAGCCTGCCCTCAGGAGCTTCCCCAGGTCAGGGCTGACGAACACTACATCCCCCAGGCTCTGCAAATGCTGCCATGAGGAGCCCAGGGTGCCCTCCTCCTTCCTTCCTTCCCGGGGCAGAAGGATGCTCCAGGCTCTCACCCAGCCCTGCAGCAGCTCTGCCAAAGGCACCCAGCCCCAGGAGCAGCCCCCATCCTCCCCTGCACCCCAGGATGTGCTGCTCTGCCCTGCCCAGGGCTTTCCTTCCTGACCAGCCCATGGCCAGCCCTGAGTCCCAGCCAGCAGCAGTGGCCCACGAGGGGCTTTACCTTCATGGGAGCGTGGTGAGAGGGTGAGGAGCCCAGCCAGCAGCAGGACTGTCCTTGCAGTGAGCATGGTGGCTCTGGGAGGGCTCTTCCTTGCAGGATGCTGCTCTGCCTCTTTGGGAGAGCTCAGCTCTGAGCTCAGGCAAGGAGCTGCTGCAATTTATACTCTCTCCTCCTCCCCAGTTATCCCTTTCCTAAAGAACTGGAACCTAATTCAAGGAAAAGCTTCCACTTCGTTGCCCATGGGGGTTTCCATGTCACATAGGGTCATTAGGATTCCAGGCAGACCTGGAAAGACTAAATAAATTGTGTCAGCTTCTGTGTTCACCCACACAGGGAAAGTCACAAAGGAAGTGAAATCCTCCTCTCTGCAGATGTAAACTCAAGAGTTCCTGGGCCTTCAGGGAGGGGATTCATAGCCATAGGAAAGGCAAAGCTGGGTGTTCCATGCCAGGTCACTCAGCCCAGAGCCAAAAGAAATGTGCTGGAGATGCCTGGATGGCTTGTGAATCCTGGAAAGCATTAAACAGAAGCACAGTGACTGCTGCTGCCACCAGCCCTCTGTGGCTTGAAAGGGGCAAGTTGGCAAACACTGGCAGAAATTGCATCCCATTCCATGTTGGTACTATGGAGAGGAACCCAAGTTTTCCATGAAAAATCCCTGTTTGTAACGGGGCAGTGAGGGGGGAAAGAGGAGGGGGTGTAGTGGAGCCTTTCCCTGGGGACAGGGCTGGCTTAGCCCCAGCTTCAGGGCAGGGCAGGAGTCAGGCTGAGGGGAATGGATGGAAAAATGACTGCTCAGAGGCTTTGGGTGTATTTCCATCATCTTCCTCCCTCCACAGCCCTGAGGCATCCCAGATCCTGCAGGGACCTGCTGGAAGAGGGCAGCCCCTCTGTCAACCTGGGGGACAGTTCTTCCCCCTGTGCTGGGGCCCCCTTTCTTCAGACCCTCTGGAGGTCCAAGGAGCCCCTGTGCAGGTCCTTGCCAGTCATGCTCAGCTCGGACACTTTTCTCACCTTTCCCTTTTGTAACCCGACTCGAGGTGGATGCATGGAGCAGAGGGGTGCCGTGCAGGTCCCCTGGCACCACAGGCCTCCCTCACTCCCTGTGAACCACCCCAGGGGCCACCTCAAACCCTTCTTCACACTGGCACCCCCAGCCACTCTCCGGAGCAGGATATTGTGCCTGGGACTGCCATCCCTGGATGCCCTTTAAAATATTTGGGAGGAAAACTACCCAATGCTGAGAACTGCTCTGGTCACGCTCCCCAAGCCCAGCTTCATCACACACATTTCCTGCTGATGGAGGCTCAAGATCCACTGCTCTGGAGGGACCTTAAGAAGCTCCTGCAGAGTTGTGTTTCATTTTCTGGCCCAAGATCAGGCCTAGGATGCTCTGCTTCCCTTTTCTCAGGATTTGAAGCCATGTCTGTGGAAGCCAGATGACTCACAACTCCCTGGAGAACTTTTGGTTTCTTCTTTTTCTCTTTGGAAAGGGAAAGGCTGGTGTGTAGACATTGGGTTTTAAGTGCTGGAAAGCCCCTCTGCTGTCCCAAGTTTTCCTTTCACTTGAACAGACTCTGAAGAATGTGCTTGTTTACATAAAAAAATTAGCAGAATCTTGTTATTCTGCAGGAGGAGGGAGGCTGAGGGGACACCTCAGATGCAGCCTTTGCCAGCAGTGAGGGGACAGAGGAGTTGGGCAGAACAGCCCCGAGCTGGGTTTGGGGTCTCAGTGGGTGACTGAGCACTCCCAGCTGTGCTGGGAAACAACCACAGACATCCTGCACTTGGGAAGGCCCTGCAAGAGCAGCTGGGCTGCAAGGCAGGAGAAAGGGGCATCACCCCGTGCCTGAAACTTGCCCCAAGGAGGTGGTGGGAAGGTTGGGAATAAGTTTTCCCTGCTTTCTTCTGTTCTACTCAGTCACGTTGAACCTTTTCCATTTACAAGATGAGACATCCTTGCCTGGCTTCTTTAAAGCCCCTTCACCCTTTCTGCCTGTAAAGCTCCTTCCCATTTCTTTGGGGTGCTCCCTCCATGGGGAAGCCCTGGTTGACTCAGGACACAACCACAAACAAAAGGTGATTCTGCTCTTCCTTCCCAAAATCCCCGTGATTCCAGGAACAGCCTGGAAAGACACTCTAAAATTAGAAAAATGAGAATCTCTTCCCAAGTCTTCTTCCTACAGACGGACACTGGGGAGCACCAAGCGCTGAGCTGGTGATCTGGGATGCATCCTGTGTGGAAGCTCTGCCCGGATCACAGGACACGGAGGCTCCAGGAAGGCTGTGCAGCATTCCAACAGCTGCATGCCTTCCAGGAGCCCTGCCCCAGGTTCTGCCTGCACTAACTCACTGGGCAAGCCCGTCCAAGGCACAGGGACAGAGCAGAACGTCGCTGTGGGCAGGCAGGAACCCTCACAAAGACAGCCAAGAAGAGGCACGGGTCAATGCACCTGCACCCGAAACTGGAAGTGGCCTTATCTTGTTAAGGAAGGTTAAATAATAGATCTGATGTCAGCTTCCTCAAACACACTAAAAATGAGGCATTTTTCCATTTCTATCCAATGAGGTCAATCAACTACCTCAGGGTTAAGTGGAGGATGAACCTGGGGTGTGAGGGAGGCTCTGCACTGGAGAGGCTTCTGTGTGGAGCAGCAATCAGGGGAAATGATGCTTAATGAGGACTTCAGGCTCCTTTTTGCAACCTTGAGCCTTTTAGAGCTCCTAGAGTTTAAGCAAGCAGCAGACAGATGCTGCAGCTCAGCTTGTGGAGGGACACCCTTGGCACAAGGTCCTTCCCTGCACAGGCAGACACCAACACCAGCAAAGCCAGGGAGCGTGTGCCACCCACAGCCCAGGGGCACCCAAAATCTCCAGAGGAGCAGCCCCAAGGAGCCCTGCTGGGGCCAGCTCTGCCTGGGGGAAATGATGGGAAATGACTCACCCTGTCAGGCCTGGGTGGTTTGTCAGCCCCCTCCTTCCCCGCCTGCCCTCTCCACAGGAGAGGAGAAATGAAATTAAAAAAACAAAAGTGCTTTCGTTTCCTTAAGAGTTACGTTATCCCCCAAGTGACCTCTCTGGCCTGGTGACTCAGCTGCAGGAAATTTTCATTGACTTCTGCACCCACCTAGAAAGGCACGGGGCTGAGAGATGGCTGGGATGAGAGCTCCTGAAATGTAGGGAAGATGCTCATCCCTCTTGCTCCTGCCAGCTCCCCACTCCAGGCAAACCCCTGGGAAATGCCTCTTCCACGGAGCTGCTCTTCCCACCTCCCCAGCACCAGAGCAGCACACAGGGCAGCCCAAGCCCTGGCTGGGGTGGGAGAGGCTCTGTCTCAGCCCTTGCTCTCCTTACAGAACAGACCTGGAGCCTTTGCTGTCTCTGAGCTGCTGTCTGACCTTAGCTTTGCTTAAACAATGCAAAAGCCCACTTTGCTCTATTGCCTTGGTAAGATGGGAGACACAACTCCCTGTGAGGAAATATATTTCCTGCCAACATCTGCAAGATCAAAACCCTTAAAGGAGATGGAGCAATGGCCTGGCCACATCCAGCTGTGCCAGCTTTGCCATCTCCTGGTGGTGCTGGGATGCTTTCCACAGTGCTCAGTCATAGGTGTTCACCTCTGCAGGGACCAGGCTTGGTAACCCAGCCCAAGGCTCAATCCCCTGAGTTTTTAACATAAGGACTTGAAAGTTGAAAGTTTGACATGAAAGTTTTTAACATAAGGACTTTATTACTTCTATAAAAATGTACAGCTCATATCTCATGCACACACTCAAAATACAAACAAACTGGAGCTTGTAACAGTCACTGTGCTCTACAGCAAGTGGTATTTTAACCCCCAGAAATGGGAGACACCCACAGGCTCCATCCTCCCTCCCTCCCAGACTGCCCACTGCAGAGAGAGCAACAGCAGCGTCCCCCTGTCCTGGGTTTCACCTGTGCCCTGTGAGGGTGCCAGCACCCTGCTGCAAACAGCCAAGGGACAGGAGAGAGAGCAGGGAATGCACAAGGACAGGGCCAGCCTGGAGAAGCAGCTGCTCCTGGTGAGCTCCAGTGGGATCACAGCAGCTGGGAGCTGGTGGTGGAGCTGGAAGCTCTTTCCAAAGACTGGTGGGACTCCAAGTGGCCTGGCTGGTGCACATCCATCTCCCCAGCACTGCTGCAAGACAAGCACTTCACCTGCAAAGTGTCCACTCTGTCTGCTGAAGGGCCTGGGCAGTGATCCAGCTCCCAGGGACATGCACAAGCCACCCAAGACCAGCAACAAAATAGACAAGGCACGGTGATTCCCAGTGCTGCCACAAAGGTCTCGGCTCCAAGCAGCTCAGACAGGACATTACATACATTCAAAAAGCTATAAAACCTTTTTACAAAAATAACATTTCTAGTGTTTCATATAAAAATAATACATCACCTCACGAGTTCCAGCTGCGCACAAGTGGGGTGCACGGGGAGGTGGCACTGGCAGAGCCAGATTCACCCTCTAGGAAAACCAACCCGAGCTCCACAGCTGAGCTGCTGCACAAGGAAGGATTTCACTCCAAATTAATCACTGAAATTAACCTGATTGCATCCCGTGCTTGCAAAGGAGAGGAATCCCTCGAGTCAACAAAATGCAGAAGTAAGGGGTGTGTGATGGCAGAAAGCAAGCACAGCTGCAGTCTGTCCTCTCCCCCTGCAGGGCTGGATGGATGCCCTGAAGGTGCAGTCTGACAGATCCAGCAGGCCACACTCCTCAAGCTCTGCTTTACAGCTGGCCCATCGTTTTTGATGATCTTGCTTATCATTTTCCTGCTTTTTTTCTTGCTGATCTTGCTTTTATTTTCTGCATGCATATTTGTACTTGGGGATGTGGTCCACTGAGGTTGGTAGGGTCTGACCCTTGATATCGATCTACTTACAAAGCATCATGTCATGAAGACCTTTGCACACTCCAGCAGAATTCATCCTGGAGTCAAAGTTTAATAAGGGCTTTCAAGACTTGACCCCAGATAAAACATAAGACTTATGTACAGCAATGTCAAGATGTGTAAAAATCAAAATCAATTTGGGGTTTAAAAAAGCCTGGTTCTGTTACAGTGCTTTCATAGCCTGGTGATCAGTGCTATCCAAAATGGAAAAACTGAAATGTGGCTGAAGTATAGGAGCATGAACAGGCATTTTGTGCTTTTTTTTTTTTTTTTTCAATGGATCAGCAAATGTGCTTATTTCTGGAGAGAAAATGGGATCAAAAGGATGTTATGCCTGCTGTGGTAGAGTAATTCCTTCATGACTACATCCAGAATTGCCTTTAGCTCCACATTTCCTGGGTTTTGTGCTTGCAGAGAAGAGCAAAAATGTTCCAATGATAACACAGGAATAGCAAAATGATTGGGTGGCTTCTTGATTTCTCCCATTTGTGAAGATTCATCAGCATTTTCCTGCCCTGGTGATGGATGCAGCTGGGCACAAGGTGCATCAGCTGGCAGAAGGGATTTATTGCATTGATTTGCCAAGAACCAGCTCTCAGAATCCATCTGCAAGAAGAAATACCCATAGCTGCTAAAAGGAAGGGCCTGATTTCAAGGAGGAGACAGACTGTGGATTGCCAGCTTCTCTGAACAGAAGATCTGTAGCGCTGACCTTCAGTGCCCTGATCAGATGCAGTGTTGGTCAGCTATTTCTGAGAAGCTGGGCTACCCCTCGTGCCTCCAGCAAGAGAAAATGATGAGAGGAAATTCCATCAGCCCAAGGAGAGCCAGCACCCAGCTGGCCACCAGCTTCAGTCTTGGTCTGGCAGAGCAGAGACCTGAAGTGCAAAGAAAGAAGCAGCAGAGAGTTTAAGTGCAAATTGTGTGGGTTTGGTGCTGAGATTGCTCAAGGTGGCTGAGCCCAAGTCCAGCAGTGTGGGTGGGTGAGTGGCTCCTTGCCTGGGCCACGAGGAACCACAGGAGAATTCCCAAGAGTGACTTGGAAAATCACATCACCTGGCAAAGAGCCACCAACAGCAACAGAACAGCACAGCCTTTGTACAGAGCAGTGCCAGTGGAAGTGTCTCCCTTATTTCCAGAACACTGTGATTGGTCAACGATGAAGTAGATACATTATTGGACACTCTGCCCTACCAAAAAACCAGTTTTCTCTGTGATTTTTATTCCCAGGCTTGCTTCCTACTGGTCACCAGTTCATCATGAACAGCTTTTCTGGAGCAACACACACTCAGCTGAGGCCAGAAATGTCCATGCCATGAAGCATTCATATTACCTCCATTGGGTAGACATTGTCTTGATGCCCTGCCTGCTGGTAGAGCAAGCCCTGCACCATTTCTCTTGACGTTTCTTCTGGTTTGACTCCAAATTTCAGATACAGCCATACAAGAACAACACTGCTAACCATCAGTCCACATACCACAGAAACTGGGATGACAAAGTGCATTTGAGATTTTGACAAGAAGCTGGGCAGAGGCAGATTGTTTGGCCTGACTGTGATCATCTGCACTCTGGCTTGGCTTGACAAGGCCTGGTGAGTAAAAACTACTGTGTCTGAAGGCTCTTGCTTCCCTACAGGCAATGAATGATCAAATGCTGTAGTGCCAAACACATCTGCAGAGGGACCAACAACGCTGCTGGTATGGACAGAAGCAGCTTTGTCTGTGGCAGTGCTGGAGCTCAGGGTAGAAACTGGAGTAGTCTGTGGTGCTGTCTCTGTGACTGTTGTGGTCCTCATACTGCCCCAGGTGGAGGGGAGAGCTGACCTAGAACTGCTGGAAGCAGTGTCTGGTGTGCTGGCTCTGGCTCTTGTAGGGTCCAGGGATCCTTTGGCAGCAAGTACAGGCTGGTTTGATCCTCCAGCAGCAGCCATCAGGTCTGAACTGGAGTTAGGAGAAGCTGTGTCTTGAACAGTGGGGCGTGGGGTGGGCTGCCTGGAGCCCACACCTGCTGCAAGAGTTGCTGAAGATGCAGGAGAATTTGAGGGCTCTCCCTTTGCTTCTGGAGTGACCTCAGAGTGTGCAGCCTCTTCCTGCATCACGGGGCTGGATCCTGCAGGGAGCTGGGTGGGCTCCTGCCTGCCCAGGGGGGGCTTGCTGGACACCCCTGTCGTGGCAGCAGGAGCATGTGTTCTCTCCCTAAGTGTTGTTCCAGTCCCTTGGAAGAAACTAGTTGGACCAGTGGCTTGAGATGGAGCCAGCTCTGGAAGACCAACACGTCTCTCAACACCACCAGGCTCTTCTGCTGAGGTGACATCACGTGGTGGCATCACTGTGGCATGTTTTCTTTTCAGTTTGTCCTTGATGTCCTGCACCCAGCCTTCGTTTGAATCTGCACAAATCTCCCTGGACTTCACAGTAATAAATCTGAAAATACAAAGGGATCACTCAGTGAATAAAGAAAACACTGGTTCAGGTGATCAAGGGAAGGTGTGTAGATACAAACACCAAGTGTTATCTGGATGATTCATTTCAGGAAAGGCAGGCAGGTGCCTCTGATATCTGACTGAATGAGCAGCAGCTGACTCATGGGTGAAGGGTTTTCCCCTAAGAAGTTTTTCACTTTCAGAGGCATTGTCCTGCTTGGACACAAAGCTCCACAGGACCAGCTGCCCCGGGGCACACAAGCATGAAGGAAAAACCCTGATTTACTGGGTGATCTGAGACTTTCCAAGGTCAACCCAGCAGCTTCACTTCGGAGCCACCCCCTGGGCTGCAATAAAATGGTGTCAATGGTGCATGAACTGCAGCACAAGCACAAAACAACAATTATCCCAAAGAAAAGAAACGGAGCTTTTCTCCTTTCCAGACAAGCTCACAAGTCTGAATCTGTCTTCAGACAAAATACCTGCTTTCAGAGGAACACGTGAGCTCTCTCCCCACGTCATTCCTCTGCCCTGTCCTGCAAAGTCTCTGAGTCCCTTTCCCCACCCATTTAACTCTGATCCCACCTGGAAGTGGGGCAGCACTTACATGGTGACATTTCGTCTGCATTTGGGGTCGATCTCGCGGTAGCTCCTGATCAGCTTCTCTGGTAACTTCTTTGCAAAATTCCTGCACACTTCTGAACACTTCACAGGCGCTCTGGGTTGCCCTGAAATAAAAATTTCATCTCATGAAGTGTGGGCTTTTTATCAGGGCCTCTCAAAACCAGCACTGTTTCATTTCTCCCTTCTCCAGGGAAGAGTCCAAAGCTTGCCACAAGTTTCCAATCCCCGCTGAAGCGAGATGAAGACAGATCCTGATGAAGAAAGCCAAATTTGCTTGTAGCAGCCACACATACAATAACATACCCAGAAAACTGAGGGGAAAAAAGCACTGTGATAACTGTGGGCTTTTGGGACAGTGTTTCAGCTTGTCCTGTAGGATGTGCAAGCCCCTGGACCTGCAGGTCCTTTCCCCTTTGGCTACCAGGAGGACTGGTCTCAGCACAATGCCCAGAAAATTCATTTCTTCATCCCCCAAAGACCTGCTGCAACCCTCAGCAGCAGGCACGGTGCTCTGCTCTCTCCTTATCAGTCTTATCGCTTCCTCCTGTGGGACTTCCCCTCCAGGTGAGCATCCTGCCTCTCTGCTCCTGCACGGTCTCTGAACGCCCCCTGGGCTCAGGGAAAGGTGCAGAGCAAGAACCCTCTGGTGAATGATGCTTCACTCCCACAGGTATCTCAGCAGCCCAGCTTCCCAAACACATCTTCTCGACCTCCACCAGAAATACAGTTTTCAGTTTGCAAAGTGTAAAAATAAAACCCCTCTTGACCCCTTCAAGGGACAAGGCCAGTCACACCGCCGGGGACCATTCATGCCTGCATCCACCTCCAGCCTCCCACAACAGGCACTTGCACAACACATCCTGACAGCTTGTTCCTGACATCCCTGGGGGCAGGACTTACAAAAACAATCCCTGATTTATCTGGGGCCTCTGTGAAGAAAGGAACTGGCATCTGGTTTCAATCAGGCTGTCTCTTACAAAATGTTGCCTCTGATTCCCAAGTGAATGTGGCCAATTTTGTGCAGTTCAGTCAGGAATGATCCAGGTACCAGGTACAAGAATGAGCATCAATGCAGGAGCACTCTGAATCATTTGAATCACTTACTGGGGAAATGATTGCAAAGAAATCCCAAGTAAAAACACTCCTGTGGCCCCTCTACAGAAGTCCATTTCCAACTCTCAGTCAAGTCAAGTTAAAGCAAAACTCTTCTTTCACACAATAATGTATTCTGTGGCATTTTAGGGTCAAGAATTCCCTGCTGGGAATTCAGGGCGGCTGACTTGCCAATCAACTCTCATTAGCCAGAGGATATTCTGCTGGTGCCCTCCACTTTCAAGAGCACAGTTGAACAAAGCAGGCACAGTGACAAGAGGGCCACACCGTCCCTGTGGGCAGCCAGGGACGTGCATGGTGGGGATAGTCCCTGTTCCTTGGAGAGCCAGACCTGTTCCTTTGAGAACCCTGAACTGATTTTACAATCATTGGCACCAATGCAAACAGTTTCCATTTGGCTGAGCTCCTGTAGGTTTCTCCCAGAGTGGAGGAGCTGGGAAAGCACCTTCCAAGGACAGAGGGGTGCCACATGGAGCCCTCCTCCTGGGGCACACAGCCCCCTTCTCTGAGCTGCATCTGAGTCTTTGCCAAAGGGATCTGGGAGTTTCTCCGCCCAGGACCACTGCTCTCAGGAGCCATTGGCACCTGCTTTTCAGCACAGTTCCTCCAGAGACCCAGGGAGCTCCAGCAGGCCTTTAGCAGAGGCAGCCCTATTTCCTCATTGTCGGGGAAATGGATGCTCGGCCATGGGTGAGCAGAGTCAGGCAGTGCCAAGCAGGCAGCGGGTGTCCAGGGCAGGGCAGGCTGCCTGCTGTCCCTGCTGTCCCCTTTTCCCGGGCCAGCGCTGGAGGACCTGCCCGGAGGTGTGAGCAGGGAGGAGCGGCATCCCCAGCCGCCCGTGCCGTCCTCACTCCTCCCGTCTGGTGGCAGCAGGACTCAGGTCTCAGGGGCTCTCTGCCTCGTGGGAAGAGATCACCCTTGGCTCCGGGCAAAGCCCAGCCTTGCCTGGGGAGCTGAGAGCCTGCGGGACAGCCCAGGGTGGCCCTGCTGAGGGGTGGCGACCACTGACCTGTGCCACGGGCCACCGGCAGGGCCCGGAGCCCGCAGAGATCTTTATCCGGAGGAGAGGAGAGGAGAGGAGAGGGGCACCCCCTCTCACACACACACACTGCAGTGACAGCCCCTGCCTCACAGGGACAGCAGCACCGGCACCTTCAGCACAGCGTGCCTCTCCCCAGACACCCACCCTGGGCCAGGCTGCAGTCTTCCTGCCACGTCCCCAGGGACGTGGGGAAAAAAAAGGGGGGGACAAGAAGTACATGATGCTTTTTTCCTAATGCAGGTTATCGGGAAGAGTCTCCGCCACTCTCCCCGTCTGTGACAGAAGCCATCTCGGATGTCCCTGCTGCCAGGATTGCGGCCATTTATTGGCTTCTTCCCCCCCACCGCTTCCCAAACCCAGCCGGATCCTGCCCTGAGATCTCCTGCATCCCGCAGAGGTCCCGATCCAGTGTCACCGTCCCTTCCCCGGCCCCATCGATGGCCATCCCCCCGAAGCCGGCTGTCCCCGGCAGGGTGGGACGAGCGGAGCTGTGGCTCACCTCCAGCCAGGGGCACCAGGCACAGGGCCCACAGCAGCAGCATCTGGAGACAGGCAGCCTTCATGTTCCCGTGGTCGGCAGGAGGAAAGGCAGGCAGGGAGGGATTACCGGCAGTATTTCCCACTCCCGGCTGCTTATTGCATCCCCCGGAGCGACACAGATGCTGCCGCTCATTCCAGGATTGTGAAGCCCCGAGACAGAGCTTTAGTTGTTATTCACGTGTCCAAGGGTGACGACAGGAGGAGGAGGGAGGAGGGAGAGGGGAGGGAATAGCGACTGCTGTGGCGCGGGATGGCTCCTGGAATTCCCCAGATGTACTTGCACCAGCTTTTCCCAACGCACGCACCGCAGCCCGGACTGCTTGGCAAATTATTCAGGCAGGGACTTTCAGCGGTCGGCTGCTCCCTCCTCCTCTCCCACCGATGTGTCTCTTGCCAAGGCATCAGTGTCCTTAGGCTCGTGGAGCTCTCCCCACCTCCACTACATCTCCCTGCTGCTCAGTAAGCTCATTAATTACCCAAAATGCCAAAGCAGTTATTCCTTTCCTTTTTGGCAGCCATCTTACAGCAGCAGTCATTAGGCCAAAAGAGACGGAATTTGCTAATGAGGATGACGAGTTCATCAGCTACACTTTGGTCTCAGCCGGGCTGCCCCTGAGGAGCATCCCCAGGGAGAGGGATGGCAGGGTGGCTCTGCCGGCAGCTGCCGGGCCCTGGCCGAGCTGTCTGCGGGCTGTGCTCGCTAGGACAGCCTGGTTCTCCATGGGCACACACAGCGGGGGCTCGCTGGGGCCGGGAGCAGGAGCAGGAGCAGGGCAGGAGAGCCCGGCTCGGCACGGCCCGGGTCTCAGGGCGTTCCGGAGCCAGCCCCGGGCAGGTCAGCAGCGGACATGCCAGCGCTGCCGCCACATCCTGCACCTTTCCTTTCTCTTTCATCTCCCTCCCTGGAGACAGAACAATTTTCCCCTGACAATTCCCTCAGCTGAAAGATGAAGATAAGCTCAAGACTGAGTCTGTGACTGCCTCGGAAAATAAATCTTTTTGGCTGAAGTTTTCTTAGTGCTGGTGGAAACCTGGCATCTCTGCGCTGTGGGAAATTCCAGCGGTTCCAGTTGGGATTTTAGTTTTCAAAAGAGGAAAACCCCCAGGTCTCCATATAATGCATTTGGTGAAAATCCCAGCCTGCAACTTCAGTTTTTGCTTGTATTGTATTAGAAGAAAAAGCCCATTTCAAGGAAATGAAATAAAAATTAAGGCTTGAAATAGTCTGTTTGATCTAGCAAGAACAGAACATGCTCAGTTTGTTGGGATATTTTCTGGCCCTTCCCCAAATGGTGTTTTCTCAAGGTCCACAGGAATCTTTTGTCCCAGGAAATGGCATTGCCTGAAGCCATTGGGCACCTTGGCTGCTGGAAGTGATGGCACAGCCTACATATGCTCACATCTCCCCTGAAAAAACAGGTTCTGCCTTTTCTGCAAAGGGTTTGCTGCCAGAGATAGGTAAAAGTGAGGAAGGGCTCTGACATTCAGCTGAGTGGGAGTGCTTTGTTTGCCAAAGGCATGACTTGCCATGGGCGTTGTTTTAAGGCACAAACTGCTCTCTGGCAGATAACGCAGCTGCTGTTCCTCTGCAGGTGGGGCTGGAGGTCTTTTACCTGGCACAGGAACCTCCGGGTCACTTTTGGACATCTCCATTTGCTCCCTGTGAGCTCAGCAGCTGGATTTGGTGGTGACATCTGCACAAGGAGATTCCGCAGCAGGAGTGTGGAGGGCAGCTGCAGCCTCAGCCTGGCTTTGTGGGACATCACGAGCCACCAAGTGCTGGCAGCAGCGAGGGCCTAAGCCACCACCAAGCCCTGTGTTTCCCACCAAAAGCAGCACACAGAGGCACAGCAGCTGCCTCCAATGGGAGCAGCCAGCTCCAAGGAATAGTGACAAACCTGGGCTGCAGCTGGCAGAAAACTGGCACCACCACTGCCAACCCACTTCCTATACCACCCTCCCATCCCACCCCATCCCATCCCATCCCATCCCATCCCATCCCATCCCATCCCACCCCATCCCCCACATCTGCTCCTCCACACTGACTCTTACTGCACTTTCTTGAGATCTTGCAGCGTTGAAGAACCTAAAGTCAGAGGATCTGATGTATTCCAGGAGATATTCCTGATATAACTAGTGGCAAACTACAGGCATTGTGTCAGTCTGACAGTGAGGGATCTCAGGACTTCTCTTCAGATTCAAGAGATTTTAGCTTCTTTAGTTACAGTAGGAATTGTCTGGGCACTTGTTTTGTCAATTTGATTTCATTTCACTGTAGTTTCCAGGAATAACAGGTTGTTTTTCAGTGCAGATCTGGACCTGTAGATGAAATTGTGATATGGATGAGTGCAAGCAGGCAGGTGACCTCCTACATGAGCTATCCCAGAAGAATCCCAGCATCCAAGTGATGGAGTGTGCAACCCTGTGAGCCAGGGACTGCCAAGCCTTCAGGGAAAAAAAGAGCAGAAAAAGTGAGTAACTGGGAACCAGCTTATCCCAGCCTGCTCCCATTCCTCCTTGGGAGATTTCTTGAGGCAATCCTTTGCACCCAGAGGCTCTCTGAGGTGTTACAGCACCAAAGAAAAGCAGTAGATCATGGGAAGAGGGCTGTTTTTCCCCCTGTATGTAACTACAGTATGGCTGAGGAAGGCTTGGAAACATGGACAAGGGAAAAACATCCACAGACATTCACCTGTGCTCCTGCCATGGAGTGTAGGGGGCCACACCCTGGGCACTGGGCACCACCAAGGGTCCTGCAAGCTCTGGGCCTTCCAGCACTGCCCCAGGGGTGCCCTCAGCATCCCCAAAAGGATGTCACACCAGACAGTTCAGTGTCCGCGCTGGAGTCTGGGCTCTCTGCCTACAGCTCCTGCTCTGCTCTAAAGACATTTTTGTAGCAGGACAGATGTTCTGCTACCTAAACACTGGTTTTGATGCAGAATGAAAGGAGAACAAGTTCTGCTGGGGACATTGGTGACAGGCACCAGGCACACTCAGAAGCCTGATCTGATGTCATCCCCCAACCTTTGATTGCTGCAACCCTTAGCCAGGAGCTCGGTTTACTGCTCCAAACCACATATTCCACAGGTCAAAGTACCAGATCCCACCCAGGAGAGACCTGAAAGCAGCTCCAGCATTTCCCACCCACCACAGCTTTGCCAGGGCTGTTCACAGCCAGCTTGAGCTGTGCACGGGGTCAAGGTCCCCGCAGGTGGAGGGAATATATGACTAATGTCTGAGGAATTGCTCGTGAAGGTAAAAAGCACCTTGAACCTGCAAAGCTTTATATGCAAAGCAACATATAAAGAGAATGTGGGCTGTGCCCTAAACAAACAGGAAATGGCCCCAGAATGCCTCCCTTCTCCTTTGGGGAGTTTCCGTGCTGGCAATCTTTGCTGTTTGGCTCTTTGTGAGAGAATTGTTTGTTACAGTAGATTGGTATTCCTTGAAATAAGGTCAAGACTGAGAATTAAAAGGGAAAGTAAGTGAGAGCTAGGAGCCTGTATCTGGTCTGAGAGAAAGATGCCAGAGTGGGTCAGATGAGAATGTTGATGATTTCCACTTCATGGGAAGCACGTTCAGGAGCTCCCCAGGCTCAGGAGCTGGTGACACTAGAGCAGGGCCTGGGGACAGGTACTGACAGCATCCTTGTCTCAGTATTGTCCTCCATCCCAGGGCCTTGCTGGAAAGAGGCAGCAGGAACATTTAATTTTTGGGACAAGCGAGCCAGGGTTGGTGCTGCAAGGGACACACACTGACACATGACTCCAGCTCTGGACACAGGATGGGATTCTCTTTCCCCTGACAAAGCTCCCAGCTGCCTGGTGGCAGCTCATCCTCACGCTAACCCACCTCTCCTCAGTGGTGTTGGCAGCTCAGCCGCTGCTCTGACACAAACCAACCCACCAAGCCCTTCTCTCCTGGCCAAGGACTCCCTTGCCAATTCAGGAGAAGGTTCCTTAGAGCCAAATGTGGCCTCCTACTTTGGAGATGCCTTTGGAGAAGCCTCTGTGCTTCATGTAAGCTCTTGAGCCATTACTGTAATAAGGGAGAGAATTAAATGGCAGGGGATCAAGAAAGGCACCACATGATTTCGTATTTTCTCACATTTAAGTATAAAGCAGGAAATGAAAAGCAGATGTCTGGACCTGTCTGCAGCCAGTGTCTCCACAGGGGACGGAAAACTCCAATTTTGGAAGTACTGACCACTCTGGGGCTTGTGTTTTAAGGGAACTGCTTTACGTAGAAAATGTTTTCCAAAGTAGTAGAGAACATCACAGTGGCTTTCACTTCTCTGAACACAATGGCTTCCTCCTTCTCTGTAAATGAGAACCAATCTGAAGCCCAGCACACAGTGCCAAGTGCTGATACTCTGTCTTTTCCACAGCTAGCAGTCAGCATCCCAGGGCAGCCAGACTGTGGAATGCAGCTCTTCCCCTGGCAGCATCACACCCTGGCTGATCCCAGGGGGGATTGCAGGGAAAGGTGCACACCTGCAGTGGGAATTGGTGCCTCTCCTTGGCAGCTGGAGCAGCCTGGACTGAGGAAAACTCATCCTGTCCCATGGAGGCTGCCAAGGGCTGCACTCTCTGCTGCAACAAACAAGATTCATGTTGTTTGAAAACATTGTGTCTAAAGAAACAAACACGGAGCTCTTCAGTGCACACCATGGCTATGCTCTTTCTGAACAGGGAAGAGTCACTTGCCTCCCACAGAGCAAGGCAGACACGGGAGCAAGCTCCTTCCTAGGAAAGGGGATGGGGAGCTCTTGGGAAAGGTGCCTGCATGGCAGAGGTGAAATCTGGGCAGCTTTTCAGCTGAGGGGAAGGAGCAAGAAGGGACTGTACCAGAGCAGGCTTCCCTGAGCACATCCAGCCCTTGGCTCCTGCCTAATCCCTGCAGAGCAGGGGAGACATCCTGACGTCCCAGTCCTTGTGTGTAGCTGCAGGCCCTGAAGGGAACAGCTCCACAAAGCTGGATGAGAGGGTGAGATGGATGAGAGGATCTGTCCCCCCCGCTCTGGGGCCCCAGGAGGAATGTGGAGCTGCTGGAACACGTCCAGACACCACCAAGATGCTCTGAGGGCTGGAGCACCTGTGCTGTGGAGACAGGCTGAGAGAGCTGGGGTTGTTGAGCCTGGAGAAGAGAAGGTTCCAGGGAGACTGTGGAGCCTTTCCAGT